CCTAACAGTTGGTCTAATTTTCATTTCTTCGACACACTTCTTCAGAGTACCTTGCTGCTGTAGAACCTGTTCTGATCCTGCATTACTCTCCGCCACCTCCCGTGGCCCTGCTAATGTCTCAGCATAACTCCTCTTAGCAACCACCTCCATTCTATCGGCTAATTCCTCAGTCTTAGCAATGATCTCTTTCCCAACTTGTTCTAGTTTGGCAACCAGCAAGGATCCAGCTTCATCTATTTTCGTCCCTAGGGAACTCGTTCTCCTATGGCTTGCAATCGCATCTTTCACCTTGACTATGCAGATAAGGCAATACCAGCAAAAGCCTGCATGCTTTACGGCAGCTTGCATCGTCCTAAACGTTGCAATGGTCAGGCCTGTATCATCCATATCCGTCATCCCCCCGCAGTAATCATACATCATATCCCTCATGGTTAAATTTCGTATATTTAACAAAATCAGTCTGGTTTATCCTCACCAACCTACTTGAACATGTTTAATCTAACCCAATCCAAATTTAACTACATTAATGTATCAATGAACTATGAAGCAACAGTTGTTCTTCTTGCAATCTATTGAAATTCTTAGTTTAGTATCGCAGTATGACCGTCAATGTAACAATTACCTGTAGTACTGCAGTGTACGTAATCTCAACCAGGACAGGTTGCCTCTCAAACACATTTTAAAGCAATAATGCACAGTAAGTGGTACGTAAGGGTATTCATGCATTCCCAATGTTTCTTACTATAAAAGCAGTTCTGTAACTGACTGTCACCAACTCATTTACTCGATAAGAGAAATACGATTTTACTACCACGCTAACACAAGAGTTGTGTGCGCAACTCAACTTTTAATATCCCCCCCCCCCGTGTAAACAAACTTATACCATCACACCAAGGTCCCCGCCCTCCATCGCGTTGTCAGAGGTAGGGGGGTTATATTTATCCCGACCCACACTATTTTCAGTTATTTATGTATACGTCTACGATCACTTTAACCCAGCAAAGTTTAGTTTCCATTTAAAAATATAAGGTATAACTGCAGTTTTGGACAATATGGATCTCGAGTTGAGCAATGTGTTTCTCCGATGGTTTAGACAATTTTAAGACCCTTTTCTTCGATGACGTTTCCCTTGCAAATTACTTAAATATACCGGGGGATCCAGGAGGCGTAGCCCCCAGGTTAGGAGGTTAGGTTAGGTAATTATAGGTCATTTGCGACGGAAACGTCATAGAAATAAAGTGTCTTAAAATTGTCTAAACCACCGGAAAGTGAGACGTAAGACCTGACTGAATTACTCAGAATAGGCAAACTGTACTCCAAGCTTTGTCAATATTTTTTTAAACTAAACTAAACCGGAAAAACACATTGCTCAACTACACAGGTGTATTGTCCGAAACTGCAGTTTGACCAGTTTGAAAATTATAGCATGCACATTTATGTTTACTTGCCTTATGATTGATGCAGAGTCCTTGCAAAAAATAAAAGAAACATCTTGGTAAGGTCAGACTTGGCGACACCTCCGGTACAAGTGTTAGGAAAATAACGAGAAATAGTATTTGTCCGCACTGGTCTGAAACTTCGTCTTTTCCCATAAGTAGTTGGAAACAGGCAACAGCAGTTATAGAATGTTTGATAATGTATAATAACAACTAGATGCACTTCAATAAAATTCTTATCACAGTTAGGAATGATGTCTGGTCTTTTCTCTGCAAATGGATCTGACATGATAGAGAAGCAAGGCGTGCGAGAACCCGGAATGGATGCGGAGCTGAGACCCAACACCACTGCTGGCTGAGAGCGTAACAACGTGCCAGCACAACAACTGTCTTAACTAATTTCTATCGTTTTCTGTACATAATATTCTAGTGAATCATTAAGTACATCACCATCATCTGGTCTTGGTAATTTTCAAAGTCACTTTCACTAAAAGATGGATCAAATGACACTATAGTTGTGAAGAATAAAATCTATCCCCTCCTCATAATAGACAAGCGAGCACTGGCCAACGTTTTCAAACCAAAACTTCTGTGTTTTTGTCGTACCAGTGGCCAATCAAGACTTAAGACGTGGTTAGTCTGTGACCTTATAAAAACGCACCCGAAACAGCCGCAAACCTAGCAGTCAGACAGCCCATAGTTGTAAACAAAAAATAATGGCGGATGGAAATCATCCCGACGAATTGAATATTTTTTTGTTTAGCAACATGAATGCAATAAGATCTATGATTAAGACCAATGCCGAGGTAGTGGGTAGATCTGCGGTACTCGTACCGACTTTAGCCGAAGAACATTATTTTGAAGTCAAGTCCAGGCATTGTCTATCGTACTTGCCTAAAATGGAAGATAAATATTTCTAGTGGTTATCGCTCATTGGCGGGAGCAACTCTGCCCTTGTGTCCACCACAAGAGTCTTAACGCTCCCCCATTGAAAAAATACACAGTAATTGTGGTAGAAATTTAGATTTAATAACCCTTGCATCCTTAAACCTATTACACAATATGGAAAATTTTATACCGGCAATCGTCATTAGTTTTCTGTACACATAGGCCAAGGCCTACAATATGGCTGGGTGTTAATGTTACAACACGATTCCTCGGATAAGGATATAATAATAATAATAATAATAATAATAATAATAATAATAATAATAATAATAATAATAATTAACGGTTTATTGAAAGAGCTTGGTAGCCAGAAGGCTGAAAATATAGTTACATATTTGGGGAATGGGTTTCGAATTACAAATAATATACAAGTAACATAAGTGATACAAATAAGATATATAATAACTAGATGGGAAAAAGCTCAAACTACAGTGCATTTCAACATAGTGACAGTGCAAGAAGTAGTATTTACTGGGAGTGAATACACTGGTTTATTACAAGTTATTGATAATTTTTACAATGGTTGGGACTGGGCTGTTCTGAAAGCGATCAGTTCGTGCACGTATGGGCTGGATGCGGTTGTGGTGTCGAACAGCAATTCTCGGGCTAGGGATCTCAGGTGGTAGTAGGAGCCGGTGTCGAGGATGGGAAGCTTCTACCAAATTTGCAGATGAGGTCGTGATGGTCAGTGAGAGTCGAAAGGGTCAGTGTGTTGAGCGCTTCTTGATATGTGGAGTAGGAAGGGGAGAGAATAATCTTGCATGCCCTTTGCACTTTTTCTAGGTGTTTACGTTGTGTGGCATTTAGGGAGGAAGACCAGGTAGGGAGGCATAGGTGAGCTTGGGAAGTATGAATGTTGTGTAAACACTGAGGAGCTCGGGCGCAGGAACTCCGAGGGACTTGAGTCGGCGGAAAGACGGAAACTGGAGGATTTGACAACTTCACTGACGTGTGGTTTCCAATTTAGTTTGTTGTCTATGGTGACGCCGAGGAGCTTCGTGGAATCTACAACCTGGAGTGTGTTCGGACCTAAAGTAATGGAAGGAGGTGGGACAATGTCGGAGGAGAGGTTGATGTGCATAACCATGGTCTTGGTATGGTTGATGGTGACATGGTTGTTGGTGGCCCAGTTTTGGAGACTGTTCAATAAATCCTGAAGGGCGGTATAGTCGGGAGCAGAATTGTTGACGCTAATCCCAATGGTGGAGTCGTCGACATATTTCCAGCGAGCAGGGGTTTCTCTTAGGGCATCATTGATGAGCATAAGGAAGCAGAGTGGTCCCATCTTGGTGCCTTGGGGGACGCCACAGGTGACTGAAAGGTGGAGACAGCCCCTCGGAAGCGTACAGCTTGGTGTCGGTCACTGAGGAAGTCTGTAAGCCATGGTATAAGACTTCTCCGAAGCCCAAGCATGACAACGGATGCGGTATGCAATTGGCAAAGACTATAGTCTTTGTAATAGGCTTAATTTCATGACGTCAGTATACGTCATAATATTTTGAATACGTGGGCTAAAAATTTATAAGGCCCATGCACCGGATGCCTTCCGCCTGAAAATATCCAGTGGTTTGCGTGGTGCAGAACCGTAGAGTGTTTTATCTTTTATTTAAAAATTTACAATTTACATATATTTCGGTCAACTTAGTGGCATACGGGCACCATGTTGTTACTCAGCTTATGACAAAGGTTTGCACTCTTACCGCAGAGGAGGATGATGATGAAGATGATGATGTTTATTCAGTAAAAGTGTCATACATTTTTACAACTGCTTAAGCATGTTTATAAACTATTTGGGAGTCACCCGAGATCTTCGAGAAGATTTCCCACTCGCTGAGTAACAGCACGGCGCCCAGTTGACTGAAATATCTATCTACGACTCTGGCGTGTTACACACGTACCATGGTCAACTGATGCGGTATGATTCTGAAATTTGTTGAAGGTGAACACACATACTGCAGTATAAAATTTCAGTAAAGAGGCTAATATTCACCACGGTTTCCCGTGTTGCTATTGTTACGACCCTCCTTTCACCGCCTACCCAGCTTCCACCACTGGTACCAGCGGCTAGGGTCGTATGTACCAAAGACTATAGTTTGTAACAGGGCAGTAGATATCTCACAAGAGTAGTCGAATTACCACTGGCTGTCCCGCCAGTCTCCGGTAATTTCCAGACGATCGGTATCAGTGTACAGGCAAACAACTGGCAGGTAGATTTCCATCAGGTCACAGAAACACACTTGTGCAGTGCAGTCTTCTTTAATAAACATTAATCCTTCATAACACTGCTAACAGGGTAATGTCTTCACAGCTTAACTCCACACCACACTTAAAATTTATAGTCAGTACACTACCAGTTTACAATTCCTTTGTCTTTTCACTTTATCTTAATCACAACAATTCCACAATACTTGCACAACAATTGTCTTCAGTTGTTCTGTTAGGCTCAGGGCCGGATTCAGGCGTGGGCAAAGTGGGCAGCTGCCCAGGGGCCTCCACAATCTGGGGGCCTCCACATATTACAATATGTTCTAATTTCCTCAATATAACTGCATATGGCTGTAAGCCCCCCGGAACTCCCAGATGTTTAGGCTCGCTTCACTCGCCACCCCACCCTCTTGGGTAGTTATAATGAGGGGGGCCTCCACAAAGAGGCTGCCCATGGGCCTCCACAGGTCTAAATCCGGCACTGGCTAGGCTTAGTCTTTACGCTAGAAATAGAGGCAAGCACTAACTGCCCCTCAGTTAGTCAGACACCGAGATAAGAGAGCCGTGGCTCTGAGGTGAACAAGGAGATTTAGGGCAAGGTATAGTTAAGAAGTGGGAAGTACATAAGGAGAATGATAGCAGGTGGGCTTTCCACCTTGCGGAGGCTGGTTTGTGGTTTAGCTAGTGACAGACGTCCCTCAGTCCCCCAGGGGCAAGGGAGGTTAGATAAGCTAAGCTACAGTAAGCTGGTTCAAAGTGCGATCCTAGGGAATGTGCTGTTTTAGGGTTTGTTGGGGGGTCCCGCCAGGTCCTTGTGTCACTGGCAGGATAATCCCCATCTTTAAGGTTATGCATGTGGTGTTGGTCTTTCTTGTTGGTTGATAGGCAGCCCGCTACAGCTTATACACGGTTCGTCAGACGCCCAGAACATTCTAGCGATGTCCAGAAGCGAGAGGTCGGCTCGAGACCCGCCTAGAGAATTCTAGAATGATCTAGGCTTACAATAAGAGGTAAATCAGAACAAAAATGATGCAATACATTATAGAATATTCTTACATAATTAATACATCAATATCATCAATATATACACGAAAATTGAATTAAAATTACCAAAAAACAACAGCTGCATGGGACAGAAAACAATCAAAGCACCTGGTTTACAAGATTATAATACGAAATTATGCCTCGGCATAACAATATGAAATACTACCACTCTCTTATTTGTTGGATCAATAGTAATTGACAGGCTACGTATACAACGGGAGCAGCTACGCCATTTTGGAGCGTCAAGAGAACTTGATGGCAGCCTGTGTGTGTGACTTCGACCTTTCCATCTTCCCCTTCGACGTCCACGAATGTCACATTAAAGTCTCCATCGTCAACAGAGGCACCTTTTACGCCACCTTCGAACCTCAGGTGATGAATTAGGAGGTTTCGTTAAGTTAGGTTAAGACATAACTGGTGCATGTGGTTAAGTTTAGTCCAGTTAAGTTAGGAGAGGTTTAGTTGAGTAATATGTTAGATTAAGTTAAGTTAGGATTGGGCAAGGTTAAGTTAGGTTAGATTATGTTGAGTTAGGTTAGGTTTTGGTAAAGCAATGTTAGATTAGGTTGGATTTGATCAAGACGAGTAACGTTAGGCTTGGTTAGAATATGTAATGCGTTAGCATAGGTTAAGATGAGATAGAGTAAATTAAGTTACAATATGTTATATTACAATAACTAATCAATTACCTTAGATCAGGTTAAGTTACGTTAAGTTAGATCCGGTTATGGATTAGGATAGGCTCCGAATGTGACAAAAGGCCGTTGTGGGTTTTATGAAAGTCATGTACAAATTAGTTTAGCTCAAGTCGTTCTCTTGGAGCTGCCTCGCCACGAAAACCATATCTAATGTGCTTTAAAGTGTTTTCGGAAGCCTCTTTGTGATTCGGGGAGTACAATGTTTATGTGGTCGATTAAGCCTTGAAAACACACACACACAGAAATCATCTCCTACCACAGAGGATCTGGGTCAAGTCAACGCCCATCACATTGACGCTCTTCGAGGCCTCTGAGCTCCGCTACCTGTATGAATCCATCAATGGCGCCGTCACCACCATCAGCTTCAGGGTAACAACATCGCAGATGATAATGTTAATTTAGTTAACACCTGACTCACTATTAATTAACATTGTTATCGAGATAATTAACATCTGTCTAATTTGTCTCGCTTTTAACATGCTAGTGAGTTAGTTTTCGCCTGTCTAAGATTAATGAGTTAGTTTGCAGATACGTATTGGCTACGTCAGTATGGTTTATATACGTTTTGAAATGTGGTTTGGTTGTACGGCTGTAGGTGGGTTTGGTTGTACGGCTGTAGGTGGGTTTGGTTGTACGGCTGTAGGTGGGTTTGGTCGTAATAATGTTTGATTGGTTGCAGGTGTTGTTGCGGCGTCAGTTTGGCTCCTACCTACTGACTACCTTCCTCCCTTGCTGGATCTTCAGTGTTATAGGCTTCGGGACGCTCTATTTCCGCGTTTCTGACTTCAGGTGGGACTAAGAGGGTTTAATCTCCATATTTTTTAAGTGTTGCCAGAATAGTGTAATTACTAACCTTGTTACGCGCTTAAAGACCTTCGTTGTTGAAGCGCAGTAATTACATTATAATAACAATAGGTGTGTAGCCAAGAACCTGCAGCTGCGTGATCTCATCACACATGCGCAACCGATAATTAGGTTTAGTTATTCATTGGATTAAGAATACAACAAATTCTCTATGCTTTAACGTTAGATCTATCAAAATTACTGCAGACATCTCAATTATTATTATTATTATTATTATTATTATTATTATTATTGTTATTATTATTATTATTATTCAACGAGCGTAATTAATGAATCAGTTAACGAGTAGAACAATGAGGAGTCAGGCCTTGGATAAGTCTCATTCATTCATACTGAGCTGATAACATTGTTATTCTCTTTGGTTCCTGGGTCATGATTGTTACTGAGTGTAGTCCCACCTTTGGCAAACATTGTATAATTATTTTTGTGTATAGTGGTAACTTGACGGTGAATACTGTTTCAAGGGTAAAACTTTTCTCGTCAAAATCAAGAATCATTTATCCACCAAATTGCTGGAAAATTACAGGGTCGCGGATTAAATATCTTTAAAAAATATATTGCAAGTCCGTGTTTACATTCAAAATATGTACTGTACCACCACTACACCGAAATTCCTTTGAGATTGTCCTTTCAACAGGTTTCTCTTTCATTCACTATACAGTATGTCAGGGATATTTTTGATCTTACATATCTTGTTGGTGGATTTAGTCGATACAGATTAATACTGAATTTGATTGTGGGACCTGCATTAGAGGTATCCATTTCCAGCTGGGCGAACTGTGAGTGCCCGAGTACCGAACCAAACTACCGACCCATGGAACGGGAGACGACCCCTGTATCCACTCGACCGCCGAAATCTTGTACAGTCGGGATCAAAAGTCTTGAACACTTAGCAATATCTGGCATCTACTTCTGAGTCATACATACATAATTGGGATATACTTATAACACTATTGTCATCACAAATTATGTCTGAACCACAAAATGGGATAAAACTCTCCTTAATACCTAAGATCTTCGGGTACTTACATGCCAAATGCTGTCAAGTGTTCAAGACTTTTGACCCCGACTGTACCTGGAGAGTTATTACGGAGCTATAACACTAGAAAATGGCCAACAAGTTAAAAATTCTTCCCACTGTTGTTGCATGTGCAGCATCCTTTAAACCATACTGTACATACTCGAGTCTCTTATATTACTACGTTTTAACAATGGGAAAAAATAAATAACGAACCACTATATAGTCTTTGATCGTCATTAACGCCGGGACAGTGATTCCTACACATCACATTGCGCAACATTTATAACTGGCTAGACAATAAGACAAGCACGTCTACATCCATGATTTTTTAGGATAAAAGTGTGAGAAATGAAATAACCAATGGATAGTGTCCTTATTATCTATGTCATTATTGTTATTAGTGCACATATTTTACATACATGATTATGGTGAGATATTATCCTGAATATTTCTTTCACTCTATAAAAGACGTCTTTCTGGTGGCGAGGTCAGAGTTCAACAGGTCACAGAGTTTCTTGTGGTCAGGCCAATGCTTCACCTGACACTCCCTGGGTCAAGGGTAGAGAGAATATATATATATATATATATATATATATATATATATATATATATATATATATATATATATATATATATATATATATATATATATATATATATTTATTTATTTATTTATTTATTTATTGAGAAAATATTGATTAAATAGGTAAGGTATTATAATAATTGTCTTTGTATCAGTTATTCCTAACAACATCAAACAGTGTCTCAGTTTCATTCTTTTTAATGAATGATTTAAAGCAAAGGTTGAGAAAGTAGCACCATATGTAATATTAGCAGACTCCTAATTAAACTTAACCTGCCCAAAATAATAACCAATGACTGTTAGATTGGATAAGGCTGGTAAGGTTCGGATCAACTGTAATTAGGGCCTGAGGTTAACTTAATTTGGGGGGCCTTTTCTGCAGATTTGTACTGATAATAAATGCAAATGTACAATGCATAGTACATTTACAAGGTTTACATTTACGGTGCTTGGGGTCTAGAACAGAAGAGATGATGTTTACACGTAAATTTTACTTACACTTAAACACGCAAAAAAAAATCGGTCAGTAATTTTCGTACACGAAAATTAACACTTCTTTCGTTAGGTATTTTTTGTCAAAGAATTGTTACCAATGTAGCAACTCCATGAATGTTGTGGCAGTGGAAGTTACAATTCCAGAACTAAGTCACAGAGCCGAGAGTATGTAAGTGTAAATAGTGTCAACAACAAACGTGAATGAAGAAGCGACAACATTTTATCTTCAACTTCACAGCTTTAAATCAAACCAGAAAGTGACTCACCTGCGACAGTACCATTGTGCGCGGCACCTGGAGCACCTTCGGCCAGCTGGGTTCCCGCAGGTGGCGCAGACAGGGGTATCCGGCAATAAGGCCTCTAGAGCGTCCAGGTCCCAGGCCGCGGTCATGTTGGTCGCGAGGACTTGTAGGTCTTCGGGCGTGGGGCTCAAGAACCTAGGCTTCAGGAGATCGGCCAACTCCCCCCATCTACCCTCCCACACACCCGCCACTCCCGCCTCACCTAGCTACATGGGGAACGAAAACACATTAAAGGACAAAACAATCATTAAGAGGAGATAATAAACATTAGAACGAACGAAAGAATATAACAAAACGAACGATATTATTAATGAGGAAGACGAGATAACCATTAGGGATTGTGACGTGATACGGCAGAGAGCCTGCAACAATTGTAAAGGAATTAATTAATGGTGGGTAGATGGAGGAGTGTTTACGGGCGGGTGTATGTATGTGTGGCTATATTTACTTAGTTTGTATGTTTGTATATATTTGGTATACACAGCTACCAAACAGGGAGGTACTACCACCTGGGAAGATATTGGAAGCATAATGTGTTGTCTAATGGTAGACCCTGCTGCCATATGGCATCTCGAAAATTGTGACCAAGTCCCAGGTTGCTGATCTGACTTTCTGCCTCATTTACACACAATTGTAGGGTCTCAATTGTTTCACTTACTATTGACAACACAACATGCATATATTGTTTCTCATTGTTGATATTTTTTTATCTTTTTATTTCTTTATGGTTCTTTATTATTATTATTATTATTATTATTATTATTATTATTATTACATGTTCGACCCCCCCCCCCAGGCCTTGATGTGGGTCAGTGACCTGTGCCCAGGTGGGCTAATCCTCGTAGAAAGAAAAAAAATCTACTTAACAATGTGTGTCACAATGGTGAGGGACGTGGGCCATCAACCAAAAAGTATACATAGAAAAACGATAGATAAAATATCTTGGATGTATGTGTGTATTATATGTACGGTACTTTACATAATAATGGGGAGTATTACAACAAGCTCCTAGCATTTTAAAGATGGCCACCACCTTTTTCCAATTAAAATATCATATAAGGTAATAATTGTTTTGCCATGAATTTCTTATAAAACCAATCTTCACTAACCTGGCCTACCTAACCTTACCTAACTTAATATGATCTTACCTGACCTGACCTGGTCTAGTACGATTATTAAAGAACTCAGCAAATAGCATGTGTGTGTGTGTGCGTGTGTGTGTGTGTGTGTGTGTGTGTGTGTGTAAAGTGTGTATATCTTTTCAGGTAAGCAAGTCAGGGACCGTACAAATGCATACAACTCTTAACACATACTCTAAATATGTGTGTTTCCTTAACTGCTTGGTCTAATCATGACAAACGAGTGTGGACACGAGTAATAATAATAATAATAATAATAATATAATAATAATAATAATAATAATAATAATAATAATAATAATAATAATAATTATAATAATAACAATAATAATAATAATAATAATAATAATAACGGTTGCCACTCGTGTAACGAGGATGGCCGGCCCAATGGCCACCTAGGCGTGAATTTGTTTAAGGTGTAGAGGCTGTCGCCAACACAACAACCACACCCTAAGTTAACGAGCTGCATTACCCAGTGTCAAAGAATAGTCCGAGAAGACCGGACAACTCGCCAACTGCACTGGCTAACCATTACCCCGGAACACGATCCGCAAATAGATTAACACCCAGGTTCCCAATTACTGCTGAGTAGACAGAGGCAAATGGCGAAAAGAAACTTGCCCATAGTTTCACCCTGCCCGGGATCGAACCCGGATCCACTCGCTTGCAAGGTGAGCATGCTGACCACGACATCACAGGTTGCCACGTGGGCACGAGTGCGTATGTGTAGAATGACCCTCCCCCTCCCCACCCCAGAGATAGTGGGTATTAGAGGGTGATAAGAGAAGAGGAACGATGTTTCATAAGTAATAGTTATGAGATGTGGAGAAACACTAACCTGTGAGATAGTAGTAACGAGGGGTGGGGGTCGGGCCTCTTGGGGGGCGGTGAGAGTCAGGGCGGCCAACCAACGGGCCAGGGGCTCTAGGGCGGGTACCTGGGCCAGCGCGGCATCATTCAGATGACCGCGCAGCTTCAGCAGAGCCGCGCGACGTCCACTGTTCACCTCATACATGGCTAGAGTCTCCCTGTCCATCAGTAAGGCATGTAGGGCTGCCCACAGCTGACACTCAGTTCGGCTGAGTGGAGGGGCGGGCTCCTTCTCCTCCACCCACTCGGTTTCCTGGAAAACATAGCGTCCTCCAGCGTGTGTCATCCTCCAAGGGGACAGATGAAGTAGCGAGGCGAGGAGCTGGGGTACGTCGTGGGTGTGAAGGAGGCGAGTGGTGGCACACAGAGGCAGGCGCCCAAGACAAGACGACAAAAGGTGGAGGATGGCAGCAGCCCGACACCCCAGTACCAGCCCCACTCTCCGCTCTTCACCATCCACTTCCTTCACCAAGCCCTCCTCTTTCACCTCACAATCCACCCCCTCTCCACTCTCTCTCGCTGTCTTACCTGTAATTAGTAATATAGATCACACACTCTAACATAGAGAATTTTCAAATGCCATTCACATCTCTCTCTCTCTGTTTTCATCGTTCCCTGTCCCTCTGTCTCCTTACCTTGCCGAGCATCCATCGCCTCTACGGGGTGGTAGAGCGGATGGTGTGGGTGGGTGTGGGCGTGGGTAGCTATCCTCGTCAGCTGCCTCACGCTGTGGTCGATCACGTCAAGTATGAGCCCGTCGAGCGAAGCGGCCGAGTCCTCATGAAAGACCAAGTTCTCCAGCAACCCCATCGCCGCCGCCTCCGTCTGTAGCTGTGGTGGGTGTGGGGGAGGTCAACAGTGTGAGGTGGTCTGGGGGATGATCAACTGGGACATTAAGAGTAACATGAAGCATCATAACACCTCTGCCACACACACACACACACACACACACACAGGTAGGGAAGGACAGGATACTTACAACTATAATGAAGGGCAGGGAGGAGGAGGGGGAGGGTGTCGTCAGTAGGAGTGGCAGCAGGTGTAAACGCCACGCCTCCGCCGTCAGCAGGTGCCACACCACAGCCACACCCTGTGGTAAAGACTGTCAGTAGACTGTGGAATGTGGCAGAGAGTGACAGGTGACCTTGATATGTGGTAGATGGACTGGTAAGTGGTAAAGACTGCCTATGTACTGTAATGTGTAGTTGAGACTTGTATGGAGGGACTCGTATGAAACCTAACCTTGTTACAGAGTCTAACTTTGTAATTGAGAAATAAGGATAGATTTTGACCTTGTCATTGAGACTGACCTTGTCCTGGAGGGTGATGGTGTGCTGGACGTGCTCATGGGTGCCTTGTTTAACCTCGAGTGCTGCTTGTACTCCCAGTTGGATTAGCCGACACCCCGAAACCACCCACCTGACGGAGACACTGATGTAGTGCTACCTCGGCTCTTAGCATCTCTAGGTTAATTCATGTCATTATATTAATTCCGGAACAGAAATGTAGGTTCAATGTTCGATAGATAGATGAACAGGTACAGGTAAGAGTGCACGTATAAATACAGGTGTAGAGACGGATACAACGATAGTTATGGATACAAATACTTGTACAGGTACAGGCATAAAATAAGTACAATGAGACACAAGCACAATTATAGACTTAAAGACGGTAACAGCACACAAATGCTACTCAGAATTAACGTCAGTTATTGTGTTATTTCCTTGTATACACAGAAACTGAAGACACATACCAGTTACACTCACACGTCAAAATCACAAACCCACGGTCATCACTTCCCTGAGAAAGAAACTGTGTGCAGTGTTTTGCTGGTGTAGATGGTCATGGTGTGGCAGTAAAGTGTATACACGTCCTGATGATGGGTGTGTACCAAGTGTCCGTCAGGGATAAATTTAGGAGTTGCACTAAAAGTATAGATAAAGATGAGGGAGGTCAGTAACTAATATGGAGGAATCTTATAACTGATTTAGAAATACTCAGTATCCAACAAAATACTTAATACTGTACTGGGACCATCCCTAGAGTTTGTATGATGGAGACTCCTCGTTAATGAAAATTCGAGAATGCACATGCCCGAGGGGTACCTAGTGACAGCACTTGGATCCCGCTTCCTCTATCAAGGAATAAAATATTGAAATTTAAAAATTGAAATTGAAATTGAATGCACCTGCACCTAATAGGGACTATGCTAAAATAGCATCAACCTTTAACGACAAACTTACACTGAGATTAATTGTATATTCTTAATTAGATAAGTTTATTTCAAACCAGATAAAATTAAGACAAAATTATTTCCGAAGAATTTTCTACCTTAATTATGTCTCCCGACTGGTGATAAATAAATATATCTTGTTAATTTTGAGTTACAGTAAGTCTAATGCTAGCTTTTGGTCATAATTTTTGTGATTCAGCTTAAGCCAATCAGTCAGATGCAATCTTACATCGTCATTTACTAGAAATATTCATCGTACGAACCACAGGTGTATTTTTTTATGGGTTGGCCCTTTGATTTTCGCTCAGCTCTAACCGCCAGAAATTACTGCAGGCGCTAATGTGTTGCTCAGTAATTTTAGGTTATGTAAATGTCGGTCTGAGGCTCTGAGCGCATCTTTCTTGTCGGGTCCAAACACCTGCTGGACCACCCCAAGAGACTGCGAACCCCGTACGCCCATAGAACGGACCAAAATAAATCTCTTATACTTTTACTTTTATCCTCTTCACCACTGATCGGTCAAGTCTCTGTTACTCACTGCTGGCAGGTACTGGGCATGCACAGGCTCCTGAATGCACCTGAACCTTCTCCAGCGTTGGTCAAGTCTGGCCTTGAAAGAGCTTACACTCGGTGACGTCACAACACTTTCTGGCAGATTGTTCTAAGAGTTCACAACTCTCACTCCGAAAAAGTTTGCCCTCACAGTTTTCTGGACCTGCGGCTTCTTCAATCTTGAGCTGTGACCCCTTGTGGGCCGAGCGTCCACCAGCTCCAATTAAGGACACTTGACTTGACTTGACTTGGCGTCTGTAGATAAGCCTGTAATGCTGGGTGGGAGGGCCGGGATTAGGATTGGAAGTTCTTTGGTGGCAATTTGGGGGAGGGGGAGGGGGGATTGGTTTAGGATCAAGGAAAAGAGGGAGGAAATGTTAAGGACAGTAAGAGGTTGACAGTATCCGGGCTCAACCAGATATGCTGAGGTTATAATAATTATATTTGAACTTACATCTTGCGTGATTACGTTTTAGCTCTCAAGCCTTTGTCATTTAGTTAAAAATATGTTTATTTTTGCAGTAGCCATTGTTTCAAGGAAGGGGTGACGACCTCTGGCCAGGTTCTTGTGGAGCTGGCTGAGCAACGTATCTTTTGTTTTAATAAGAGTGGAAGGAAGGGGCAAGAAGACAAGGGCTGAAGAGGCCAAGGATAGTGTCCTTTGGTCACTCATCTTTTTAATGAAACATTTTTCTGTTTTAGGGAATTGAAACGTTTTGTTTATAGTAGGGAAGTTTAATTTCTAAGAAGAGGTGTAGGATCCAACTTGCTACTTTTGTTCACAAGGAGGTGGTCCTATCTTTTTGGTTTAATTGAAAGATTGAAGCTTGACTTGAAGGTGCAGTATTTAATGGCTATACAGTTCTTTTGTTTTTGTATTGAATTTGATAATTTTTAGATGTATTTTGGTATTGGTGGTGGTTCTTTGTCGAGCCAGTTTGCTACAGTTTCTGAGTCTAACTCTCGTACTTTTCCTCATGTTCTTTTGGCTTGGATGTAGATGTCTACGTTTACTGCGTTGATGTTGGCTGACCAGCATAATATGAAAAGTACTTGAGAGTATTATCAGAGATGCCGCGATGGAACATCTACTACGAAACAACCTTGTAAAGGATTGCCAACACGGTTTTATGCCGGGGCGCTCCTGCTTAACACAATTGCTCAAGGTATTGGATATTTGGACCCATATTCTGGAATGGGGTGGTAATATCGACAATATTTACCTAGATTTTGCCAAGGCTTTTGACAGTGTACCCCACGAAAGGCTGAAAATCAAACTGGAAGGGTACGGAATTCTAGGAAATGTCCTAGGGTGGATAGAAGACTTTCTACATGACCGCAAGCAGTGTGTGGTGATTAATGGCACGAAATCATCATTTGTACCTGTCACAAGCGGGGTACCACAGGGCAGTGTATTGGGCCCGTTGTTGTTTGTTTGTTTCATAAATGACATGCCTGACGTTGTACACTCCTCCATACAAATGTTTGTCGATGACGCCAAGTTATTAAGTTATTTCGGGAAATCAAGAACCAAGCGGACTGTGAAGAGCTGCAGAAGGATCTCTGTGAGCTCCAAGAATGGTCGAAGAAATGGCTGCTGAGATTCAATGTCACGAAGTGTAAGAGGATGCACCTAGGGCGTACCAACGGTAAGGAGGCGTATCATATGTCCCAGTGGGATGAAGAAACTGCTCTATTTGAGACTGAATGTGAGAAGGACCTAGGTGTGTACGTTGACAATGAGCTGAAGTTCTCGGGCAATTGCGAGAAGAAGGTAAATCAGGCAAATAAATTGTTGTGTCTTATAAGAAGGTCGTTCAGATATTTAGACAGTCCCTTCCTCGTAACGATCTTCAAGAGTCAAGTGCTTTCCCATCTGGAGTACTGTCACCCCGTCTGTTCCCCGAGATATGCTAGGGAGTGTCAGTTGGTTGAAAATGTTCAAAGGATGGCCACCAAACTGGTGCCTGCACTTCGGCACCTCAGCTACCCTGAGAGATTGGAGCGCCTGAACTTGCCTAGCTTATACTACTAATTGAGGTGTATAAGCATCTCAAGGGGCACTACTCAGTCGAGTGTCCTTACTTGGAGCTGGCGGACGCTCGCCCCACAAGGGTCACAGCTCAAGATTGAAGAAGCCGCAAGTCCAGAAAACTGTGAGGGCAAACTTTTTCGGAGTGAGAATTGTAAACTCTTGGAATAATCTACCAGAAAGTGCTGTGACGGCACCGAGTGTGAGCTCTTTCAAGACCAGACTAGACCAACACTGGAGCAGATTCAGGTACATTCAGGAGCCAGTGCATGCCCAGTACTTGCCAACAGTGCATAACAAAGACTTGACCGATCGCCCAAGCGGCTAACGAGCCGATTATTTGGTGAAGAGGATAAAGGGAAAAGAAAAGTCTAAAGAGCCGATCAGTGATAAAGAGGATAAAAGTAAAAGTAAAAAAGTAAACACTGCATTGGTTAGGCCTGTACCATCTATAACCGTCGCCCCCCTGCAGTAATCATATATCATACCCTGAATTTGAAATTTCCATTCGTTGAATTTATGAAGAAAATGTAGCTCAACAATCTGAACTTACAACACTGGGAGGTGAGCATATTGCTACGTTCTAACTGCACTAGTCACTGTGGCAAAATAATGAGAGAACATTCAGGAGACTGAAAGTTATCAAACACTTTGTGCGATCAAATTGCAGTGAAGACCATTTGTATTCATTCCTGTTTTTGTGCTGTGAAACTGATATAACTGATGCAATAGACCTCGAGGAAGTAGTCAATGAATGGCCGAAACTGAAACACCGACATTTTTGCTATAGGTCCTGTGTACTCGTACTGCTACTGTACATAAGTGACAGTGATATTTTGAGTAATTTGCAGTGAATAAACATTTTTCTAATCCAGTATTCTATTGTATTGAAAAATAATTTGTAATATTAACTAAAAATGTGCCGTTGACAAGTTAAAATTTTTGTGACCCAACCTTCAGTGGTGTATTTTCACAATAAACTGATAAATTACGCGATAATTTATTTCTGTAAAACTACTGTAGAAAAAGCCGATGGAATACCCGGTACAGTACAAGGCGTCTAATATAAAGCGAAAATACAGAAAACACACGAGTTAACGTGTGTTGTTAGGAGAATGGTCCACATTCCTTGATTTGTATATTGATCTTTCCTCAACTTGGGACCAATCATTTAAAGTGCCATCCTTATAGCTGGTGTTGCTTGATCAATTTGTTTTGGTTTCTTTTGCACATCTACCAACACAGTCAATGTTACTTCCTAAATACACAAAATACTCCACTTGTTTGAGTTCCCTGTTCTCTTCCATAATATTTATTTTAGGATTTATTTAAAATTGGGAAACAACCATTACTTTAGATTTAACAGCATTTCCTCTTAGCCCACATTATTCATGTTTTTTTCCACTGGTGTACTAACCAATTTTTGCAACGTCTCCTCAATACAAGTGAGTACGAGCAGTATCATCTGAAATTTAATTAGGACTGGACATGGGTGCAATTTCTATGACATTTGGGAGTTCATCTTTATGCAGTATCCAAATTAGCTAGGGAGATGTGTTCTAACATCACCAGTTAGGAGAAAGATAAATTACAAACCTTCAC